TCTCTCGGGCCCTCTCTCGGCCTCTCTCGACCCCTCTCGACCCCTCTCGGCCGCCCTAATGTGCCCACTCGGGGCCCGTCAAGTGGAGTCGTCAAAGCGCGGACGGGCGAGCTAGCAAAACTACAAAGCCAAAAACCGGTCGTTATTGTAGCCGTGTCCCCCTTTGTACAGCGGCGGGGGGGGGGTGGGTCGGCGGGGGAGCGGTGGCGCAGCGGTCGGGGCGGTTGCGCCTCCGGACCGCGACGCGAGTTCAGGTCCCGGTTGTCGTTGGCGAGCGACGTCTGATTTTCCGGGAGCCAGCCTCTCCCCGGCGCGGCCTTGCCGAGGTTTTGCAAGTCGCCCCGGCTGGCTGTCGAGCGACGTTTTCGCGTTGGCACCAAGCGCTCTCGTTAAACTCGATTCGTTAAACTCGATTCGTTAAACTCGATTAGTTCAACTCGATTCGTTAAACTCGATTAGTTAAACTCGATTCGTTAAACTCGACTAGTTAAACTCGGTTCGTTAAACTCGGTTCGTTAAACTCGGTTCGTTAAACTCGATTAGTTCAACTCGAATAGTTCAACTCGATTAGTTAAACTCGATTCGTTAAACTCGATTAGTTAAACTCGATTAGTTAAACTCGATTAGTTCAACTCGATTAGTTAAACTCGATTCGTTAAACTCGACTAGTTAAACTCGGTTCGTTAAACTCGGTTCGTTAAACTCGATTCGTTAAACTCGATTAGTTCAACTCGATTAGTTCCACTCAATTAATTAAAACTCCATTAATTTAAACTTTTCATTGAATTCCATTCATTCAACTCGATTAGTTAAACTCAATTCGTTAAACTCGATTGATTAAAATCCATTCATTAAACTACATTCATTAAGCTCTATTAATTAAACTCGATTCATTAAACCCCATTCATGAAACTCCATTACACTCCATTCATTAACCTCGATGAATTAAATTAGATTAATTAAACTCGATTAAATAAACTCAATTGAAAGCTTAAACAAATGTGTTAAGCGCCCTTAAACAGTTGCTGTGCAATGGAAATGCGGAAATAGTTTAACATGAACCAAGACTTAATTTTGGAGCTTTCGTAACTGCAGGAATTATTCTTTGGTTCTTTCGGTAAAGTCACGTATAAAGATAAAATAATCAATTAAATAATAGCATGCGACGTTTCGATTGCGACACAAGCAATCATCATCAGGTATATGTTGCAATCGAAACGTCGTATGCTATTATTTTATTTATTATTTTATCTTTATACGTGACTTTACCGAAAGAACCAAAGAATGAACCAAGTCGTTAACTAAAGAGACAGAGAGAGAGAGAGAGAAAGCCGTTTAAAACGCGTGTAGTTTTTCGTCCACATTTGAAGCCGTGCAAGCGTGTCTAGGAAGTCGCGTCCCCTGACCTCGACGGGGGTAACGAGGGAGCTCCGGAGTTGATGTTCCGGCAATTGCAGAAGCACCCATACTCTTAGTTCTTTCGGTAAAGTCACGTAGGTAAAAGAAATGAAATTAAAATTAATAAAACAATAAAAATCACGACGTTTCGGAGGCAACACAAGCTTCCTTCTTCAGGTGAAACTGTCACAGCAAAATGAGCTTGTGTTGCCTCCGAAACGTCGTGATTTTTATTGTTTTAATTTTATAAATTTCATTATTTTTGCCTACGTGACTTTACCGAAAGAACCAAGGGTATGAATCCTTGCAGTCACGAAAGCTTCAATTGCAGAAGCGCCGTCAACCACCCCGAGTGGGAAGCCCAGAGTCCCCCGCGGGACAGTGCGGAGTTCGCACTCGGACGATCTTCGTTGACCTTGACGGAATATATGGCTCAAGGAGGTCACGAACGTAGGGAGGAGCAAGTCCATGCAACTCGATTCATCGAAACTCGATTGTCAAGCTCTGTGGGAAGCGCACCGTGTCGTGCGCACGTGAATCGATTCGTACTGGCGGTGGTGGCGGTGGTGGCGGTGCTGGAGGTGGTGGCGGTGCTGGAGGTGGTGGCGGTAGTGGTGGCGGTGCTGGAGGTGGTGGCGGTGGTGGAGGTGGTGGCGGTGGCGGCGGCGGTGGCGGTGCTGGAGGTGGTGGTGGCGGTGGTGGCGGTGGCGGCGGTGGCGGTGGTGGCAGTTGTTGCGGTGGCGGTGGTGGCGGTGGTGGTGGCAGTTGTTGCGGTGGCAGTGGTGGCGGTGGTGCTGGTGCTGGAGGTGGCGGCAGCGGCGGTTGCATTGGCGGCACAGAGCCGTCCCCGTCCTGTGGAGTGTCCCCCTCATGCCCTCTTGTCACCTTTAATCTCCCCTTTTAGCGCCCGTGTCAAAGCGTGTCGGTGGGGGTTGTAGGGGGCAGGGGGGGGGGCGCTCAGCCGCATCGAACCACCGCCACCACCTCCCGGCGCTGGGGACGCTTTCAAACCTCGGGAGCCCCGCGGCCCCGGTTCACGTTCGCCAAGTGGAAACGCGTTGCCGAGCGTAGAGACCATCGGTACCTCATTTGCCAGTAAAAAATATGATAGTTGGTTTTTTACCCTTTTATCTGGCAACAAAATTGACACCTTTTTTTTACAAGGAGTCATGTTTGCATAGACCACAATACCTGCAGTCATAAAGCAAACAAAAAACACAACTCTGATAATGTATGCACTGTCCTTGAAATTGATTGGTCCACACCCGAGACAGCTTTCCTTAGAGCCTAGTCTCACATGGTGTTGGACCGGATGACGCCAAAAGGCGCACAACTCAAAAACAATGCACCATCAGAGTATGAGAGCTCGGGGTGAAGCATTTACACCATTGGAATATCATTTGCCAGTAAAAAAATATGATAATTGGTTTTTTTACCCTTTAATCTGGCAACAAAACTGACACCTTTTTTACGAGGAGTCATGTTTGCATAGACCACAATACCTGCAGTCGTAATGCAAACAAAAAACATGGATTGGTCCACACCCGAGACAGCTTTCCTTTAAGGAAAGCTGTCTCGGGTGTGGACCAATCAACTTCAAGGACAGTGCACACATTATCAGAGTTGTGTTTTTTGATTGCATTATGACTGCAGGTATTGTGGTCTATGCAAACATGACTCCTTGTAAAAGAAGGTGTCAGTTTTGTTTCCAGATAAGAGGGTAAAAAACACTTATATTTTTTACTGGCAAATGAGGTTCCAATGGTGTAAATGCTCACCCCGAGCTCTCATACTCTGATGGTGCATTGTCTTTGAGTTGTGCACCTTTTGGCGTCATCTGGTCCAACCCATGTGAGACTAGGCTCTAAGGAAAGCTGTCTCGGGTGTGGACCAATCAACTTCAAGGACAGTGCATATCATTATCAGAGTTGTGTGTTTTGTTTGCGAGGTGAATGCGTCCGTCCATCGTCATGCCGCCTCGAGACATCTGTGGACACGTGGGGCTGACGTTGTTCGCTCGCACGCGGTGTACGACACCGGCAAACACATTTATTTTGGATTGCCATATCCGGCACTCTAGCTGTCCTGAGAGCCACGTGTAAAAGCATTCGCTCAATAAAAAAATGACATTTGTGCGGCGTTGCCTGGGGACCGCGCCACGAAAAGGCGCCGATCCCCCCCCTCCCCCCCCCCCCCCCACGCTCTGTAGAATTCCGGCCCTGGAGAATCGCAGAGCTCGGAGGGACTGCCGCACGCGAGATGCGCTTTAAATTTCGATTTAAAGCTTTCGTGACTTGCAGGGATTCATCTTCTTGGTTTTTCGGTAAAGTCACGTAGAATTGAAATAATAAAATAATAAAAATAAAACATAATAAAATTTCGATTTACAACTTTCGTGACTGCAGGGATTCATCTTCTTGGTTCTTTCGGTAAAGTCACATAGAATTGAAATGATAAAATAATAAAAATAAAACATAATAAAATTTCGATTTAAAGCTTTCGTGACTGCAGGGATTCATCTTCTTGGTTCTTTCGGTAAAGTCATCACGTAGAAGGGAAGTAATAAAATAATAAAAGTTAAACATAATAAAACAATTCTCACGACGTTTCGGCCACAACGCAACAGACAGACCTGGTCTTCACCTGATGACGGCTGCTTGCGTTGTGGCCGAAACGTCGTGAGAATTGTTTTATTATGTTTTATTCTTATTATTTTATTACTTCCCTTCTACGTGACTTTACCGAAAGAACCATGAAGACGAGATGCGCTTTCTTGGCTGGCGGAGGCGGTGGGGAAAGTGCCGCCCCCTCCCCTACTGCGCGAACCAGAGGCCCGCTTGAGGAAGGGATGTCACAGGTAGCCCCGTGATGTCCACTTCAGCGGGGCAGGAGGAGGCAGACACGAATGAAATGAATATCAAAAGAGACGGCGGAGAATCGGGCTGGAGTGAATTGTTACTTGCCTGTATCTGTCTGTCAATGTCTGCCTGTCTGTATTTGTCTATCAGTGTCTGGCTGTCTGTCTGCACTATATCTGTCCGTGTGTGCACCTCTGCGATGGGGGGGGGGGGGGTTGGCGGTGGTGTTACACAATGAGCGTCGGAGCGAGCGACGTCAAAACGACGCGTTGGGTGGCGGCCGCCGTTGGCTCTGCCGCTCGGCGGCAAACGCCGCGGCCTTTCCGCACGCGGTGACGGCGGCGGTGACGACGGTGACGATGGCGGCACTGCTGCAACAGCGGTGACGATGGCGGCACTGCTGCGACAGTGGTGACGATGGCGGCACTGCTGCAACAGCGGTGACGATGGCGGCACTGCTGCGACAGCGGTGACGGCGGCGGTAACGGCGCCGATTCTCGCGGTTGTCATGATGCCGCTGATGACGGTGCCGACGGCGGTGCGTTGACGGCGATCCAGTCGACCGACCGCGTTGACGCCGACGGGATTGACGGCGTCCACGGTGGCGGCGGCGGTGTCCGTGGCGACGACAGCAGCCGCGGTGACGGCACTGACGTTTTATTGAAGGTGCTGCTATGGTGACGACGACGACGATGATGATTTTCCCGCTGTCTCTCCCCTCTCCCGTGACCCCCGCGCCGACAGGCTCGTGACGGCGCTGCTGCGGGTGGTGCACAAGCAGCACGGCTTGCTGGCGTCGGCCGGCCTGGCGGGCGCCGAGGAGAACGCCGACGTGGACGAGGTGGTGCGCCTGGTGCGGCGCGAGCGCGCCGTCGTGTGGGCCGACACGGCCGCGGCCGTCGACGGGGACGCGAGCCGCGACGGGGAGGGGGAAGGCGGCGACGCGGAGGCCGCCTGCGACGGCAGCGTGCGCAGCGTTGTGGAGTTCACCTTGCCGGGGTTGGTCGCGCTGCCGGCGCTCGACGCCGGGGAAACGGCGGCGGCGGCGGCGGTCGCGCCGGTCTGCCGGGACGCACCGCCCGCGGGTGAGACGGGTGCACGGGAGAGGGGTCGGGGGGCGGGGTGCGGTGGTGAGTCGGTGTGTGAGATGGTGTGTGAGTGAGTGGGTGGGTGGATGTTGAATTATTTGCGTTGAGCGAGTTGGGTGTGTTGAGTGAGTGTGTGTCGCTGGCGAGTGAGTGTGGAGCGTGGGTGTGTGGTGGTGAGTCGGTGTGTGAGATGGTGTGTGAGTGAGTGGGTGTGTGGTGGTGAGTCGGTGTGTGAGATGGTGTGTGAGTGAGTGGGTGTTGCGTGAGTCGGTGTGTGAGATGGTGTGTGAGTGAGTGTGTCGCTGGCGAGTGAGTGTGGAGCGTTGGGTGTGTGGTGGTGAGTCGGTGTGTGAGATGGTGTGTGAGTGAGTGGGCGTGTGTTGCGTGAGTCGGTGTGTGAGATGGTGTGAGAGTGAGTGGGTGTTGCGTGAGTCTGTGTGTGAGTGAGTGTTGAATTTTATTATTTGTGTTGAGTGTGGTTTGTGTGTGTTGCGGGGAGCGGTAGTGTCGTGGTTAGCGCGCTGCGCTATGAACCCAGCGACCCGAGTTCGATTCCCACTCACGACCAACACCAGTGATGATTATCCGAACCGGTCCTGGGCCTCCCCTAGGTCGACTCAGCCTCAAATGAGTACCTGGTGCGGTGTGCAAACTTCGCCACTGGGGAGACAAAGGCGGCTGGGGCGTGGTGCTGGCCACCCACCCCCTCGTGTGCCGTTCCGGCCTTCATAGGTGCTGCTCGCTAACAGCCCCGACAGTCTGGTCAAGGCTTAATGGGGGATCTTTGTCTTTGTGGCGTGCGTGTGTGTGTTGCGTGCGTGTGTGTGTGTTGAGGCGGGTGTCTGGGTATCAGCAGAGCGAGTGCTGTTGTGCCACATCCCTTAATTGAGCAGCTTCCGCGTGTGGGCGTCTTAAGCCTCCGTCTGCCCCGAGGCCAACGGATCCGTTATCCTCCTCCCCTACCACTCCCCGTGGTGGCGGGGGGGGGGGCGGGTGCCCCCCTTGGCTCCGTGAACCTCCGACCCCTCTCGTGCTGCCCGCCACTCCTGCACTCCCTCGCCGCTCTCGGCTGTCGCTTGCAGTGGCCATGTCGGTCGCTTTGGAGCGATGAGTTGACGACCTCGGTGGGATTGTTGGATGGTTTAGTTGTATTTGTGTGTGTTTGGGGGGTGATCTGTTTACCACCTTTCTTGCGCTTTGCACGCCGGTCGGGGTTTGCTACTGTTTGTCGTTGTCACGGTTCCAACCCCGTGTGTGTCCCGGCTGGACATCTGTGGGAAAGAGCTTGATAGCTCTTCGGATTCCTCCTGCGTTATGAATCAATATTTCTGATTCAGCGCAGGGTGTTGGGTTGGTGGTGGAGCCCGCGTGTGACCCGCGCCGCCACGCTCGGTCTGCCCGCTAGCCCCCTTCCGTCAAGAGCGGGCGTCTGTGACGGTGGGGGGGGCGCTGGTCGCCTTGTTTACCGACGTGAGCACGGGGCGATTGAAACTAGCACGCCCGCCCGCCTCCCGCCACGCGACCTCTCCGCTCCCCTCTCTCTCTCCGCAGCCCGAGTCGCCCGTGGCGTCCGCGCCAGAGGTCGCAACCGGGTACCCGATACCCGTACCCTACCCAATACCTGGCTACCCGTACCCGGCCGGGTACGGGTACCTGTTTGCGACCCTGGTGTGGCCGGGTACGGGTACGGGTACGGGTAGGCCGTAAGTCACTGGTGAGTAACCGTTTGTCACTCATTTCAGGTAGGGTACGGGTAGCGTACGGGTACCCGTACCCGGCCGGGGTACGGGTAGGTCGTGAGTCACTGGTGAGTAACCGTTTGTCAATCATTTCGGGTAGGGTATGGGTACGGTACGGGTACGGGTACCCGTTTGCGACCCTGGTGCGGCCGGGTAAGGAATCAAAACCCGTTTGCGACCTCTGGTCCGCGCCCGGGACTGCCCCGAGGTCTCAGCCGCTCGCTCGCTTTCTCTCTCTCTCCCCCTGCGCGTCTCTCGCTCCTTCTGTACTGGGGGGTGGACGGGGGGGGGGGGGTGGCGGCCCCTTGTTTGTTTACACAACTCAACGCGAGCGCCGGTCAAATTAGTCTTGACTCCCTCTCCTCCTCCTCCTCTCCCTTTCTGCCGTCGCCGCAGCTGGGGAAAGGATGTGGGTAGGGAGGGGGGGGGTGTAGGGAGGAGAGAGGGGGGGGGGGTAGGGAGGGGAGGGGGTGGCGGATGGCCGAGAGTGGGGCGGTGGGGTGGTGGATCTGGGTGAACTCGGCAGAGGCGGGAAGGGAGAGACGCGAGGATTCCACGGATGCCTCCGCATGGTGGCCGGAGGTTGGGTCGGGTGGAATTCGGAGCTCCCAGGGTGCCTTGGGGGTGAGACCCCCGCGACACCGACACGGACGCTGTGCGAGCCGCCCCCTGTCCCCCTACAGCCAACAGCAGATCCCCACGGGGACAGCTGTTGCACAGCCGTAGCTGTGCACATGGACAGCTGTTGCACATGGACAGCTGTTGCACAGCCGTAGCTGTTGCACAGGGGCAGCTGTTGCACATGGACAGCTGTTGCATAGCCGTAGCTGTGTACAGAGACAGCTGTTGCACATGGACAGCTGTTGCATAGCCGTAGCTGTGCACAGGGACAGCTGTTGCACATGGACAGCTGTTGCACATGGACAGCTGTTGCACAGCCGTAGCTGTGCACAGGTGCAGCTGTTGCACATGGACAGCTGTTGCATAGCCGTAGCTGTGCACAGGGACAGCTGTTGCATAGCCGTAGCTGTGCACAGGTGCAGCTGTTGCACAGGGACAGCTGTTGCACATGGACAGCTGTTGCATAGCCGTAGCTGTGCACAGGGACAGCTGTTGCATAGCCGTAGCTGTGCACAGGGACAGCTGTTGCACATGGACAGCTGTTGCATAGCCGTAGCTGTGCACAGGGACAGCTGTTGCACATGGACAGCTGTTGCATAGCCGTAGCTGTGCACAGAGACAGCTGTTGCACATGGACAGCTGTTGCATAGCCGTAGCTGTGCACAGGGACAGCTGTTACATGGCCGTAGCTGTGCACAGGGACAGCTGTTGCACATGGACAGCTGTTGCATAGCCGTAGCTGTGCACAGGGACAGCTGTTGCACATGGACAGCTGTTGCACATGGACAGCTGTTGCATAGCCGTAGCTGTGCACAGGTGCAGCTGTTGCACAGGGGCAGCTGTTGCATAGCCGTAGCTGTGCACAGGGACGGCTGTTGCACATGGACAGCTGTTGCATAGCCGTAGCTGTGCACAGGGACAGCTGTTGCACATGGACAGCTGTTGCATAGCCGTAGCTGTGCACAGGGACAGCTGTTGCACATGGACAGCTGTTGCACATGGACAGCTGTTGCATAGCCGTAGCTGTGCACAGGTGCAGCTGTTGCACAGGGGCAGCTGTTGCATAGCCGTAGCTGTGCACAGGGACGGCTGTTGCACATGGACAGCTGTTGCATAGCCGTAGCTGTGCACAGGGACAGCTGTTGCATAGCCGTAGCTGTGCACAGGGACAGCTGTTGCACAGCCGTAGCTGTGCACAGGGACAGCTGTTGCACAGCCGTAGCTGTGCACAGGGACAGCTGTTGCACAGCCGTAGCTGTGCACAGGGACAGCTGTTGCACATGGACAGCTGTTGCATAGCCGTAGCTGTTGCACAGGGACAGCTGTTGCATAGCCGTAGCTGTGCACAGCTGTCCCTGTGCACAGGTGCAGCTGTTGCACAAGGACAGCTGTTGCATAGCCGTAGCTGTTGCACAGGGACAGCTGTTGCATAGCCGTAGCTGTGCACAGCTGTCCCTGTGCACAGGTGCAGCTGTTGCACAAGGACAGCTGTTGCATAGCCGTGGCTGTGCACAGGGACAGCTGTTGCACATGGACAGCTGTTGCATAGCCGTAGCTGTGCACAGCCGTAGTTGTGCACATCTGTAGTTGTTCACATCTGTAGTTGTGCACAGGGACAGCTGTTGCACAGATGTAGTTGTGCACATCTGTAGTTGTGCACAGGGACAGCTGTTGCATCGTGCATACGTGCCGTTTGGTAGCATCAGGCGCAGTTTTGTCGGTAGACGCGGGGTCGCTTGCACGTGCGGTGATTGACGTGCGCTGTCTGCTCGTGGGTCGCTGGCCCCGCGGGGTTCACCGTCGCCGAGTCGGATCTCTGTTCACTCCTCCCGCCCCCTCCACCCCCACCAGCGATTTGACGCGTCGTAGCGATTTTGACAACTCGATCGAAGAAAGAAAGAAAGGAGGAGAGAAAAAAGAAACGATGTATTTATTTGGCCTTTCGTCGCGTGCTCCCGTGTTTGGCGTCGGTGCCGTTCAGTTTGCCCCGTGGGGGTCAAAGCGGCGGTGGTGGTGGTGGTGGCGGTGGTGGTGGCGGCGGTGGTGGCGGTGGTGGTGGCGGTGGCGGTGGTGGTGGTGGCGGCGGTGGTGGCGGTGGTGGTGGCGGTGGTGGTGGTGGTGGCGTCGGTGCCGTTCAGTTTGCCCCGTGGGGGTCAAAGCGGCGGTGGTGGTGGTGGTGGCGGCGGTGGTGGTGGTGGCGGCAGTGGTGGCGGTGGTGGCGGTGGTGGCGGCGGTGGCGGCGGTGGCGGCGGTGGCGGCGGTGGCGGCGGTGGCGGCGGTGGCGGCGGTGGCGGCGGTGGCGGCGGTGGTGGCGGCGGTGGCGGCGGTGGTGGCGGTGGTGGCGGACGTGTTGTTGCTCAGCGTGTGGTTTTGCGGGAATCGCAAACTATCGATTCTCGCCAACTGCGAAGCAACGAGGCCGAACGCGGCAACCCCCGGGGTTCCTTTCCTCCTCACGGCCAACACCAGTGAACCGGTCCTGGGCCGCCCCTAGTTCGACTCGGCCTCAAATGAGTACCTGATGCGGTGTGTAAGACATCGCCACTGGGGAGACAAAGGCGGCCGTGCGCGGTGGTGGCCACCCACCCCCTCGTGTGACGTGCCGGCCTTCATAGGTGCTGCTCGCTAACAGCACTT